AGCTGGCAGCTGAAGTCTCGGGCTGACTTGGCCGTCTGAAGGACTGTGTCCTTTAAACTTGTGAGATCTGACCTAGCTCTGGGTGACTAGGGTCAGAGGAAGAAATGCTGCACGGGCAGCTGGTATCAGCACTGAGAAGTGAAAAGTAGATATATTAGATTTTTTAAATTTTTAAATTTATTTTGTTGTTGTATCTTATATTTAATTTTCATTTATATTTGATTTGCTCCACTCACAGGGAAATAAATCCTGTCTGTGACCGACTTTGAGAGCCAAAAGGGATTCTCCATCAGGAGACTGTGTAGGAGAGAACCCTGGACATCCCACTGGACAGCCTGGAGCCAGAGCTGGGAGGCCGTTGTTATGGCAGCCTCAGGGAGGCCTGAGGTCAGATACAGAAAGGGCTGAGACACAGACTCCAGCCTACAGCATGTTTGTGCGGAAGCGTGAACTTGGTCCTACACTGTGCAGTGGTTTCTTTTTCACCACCAGCTTCTCCCTTGTGCCCCTGCCTGTCCACACGAGACATATGCCCTCACCAGAGCCCCCAGCCTCCCTCTCCTCTGGCAGCAGGGACCACTGTCCACCTCCAAACACTATTCCCACCCTCCAGGCCTGCCTGCCGCCTCCAGACTCATCTGCCCGCCCGATCCTCCTAAAGCAGCTTTCCAGAAGGCTTGGGCTTCCCCGTGCCAACACAACCATGAGCAAGCCTCTTGCTCTTCAAGCACTTCATAATTTGGACCCAAACTATGCCTGACCGCAAACCTAGAGTAAAAAACACTGGTCAGTCGTGAAGAACAGGAAACATGGCTACCACAATCACAGTTTCAGAACATGACACTCATCCTCAGGACTCGCTGTGTGGTCTGGAGCTTCTTCCTGGGGAGTAAGTGGGCATGTACTCTTCTCTCTGCCCAAGCCTGGGACAAGGATCAAGAGCTGAACGGTGCAAAGACCCACACAGGGCTTGGTGCACGGTGGACACACACCAGACGGACTCCCGGCTGGCCTGCTTGCTCTGCTCCAGCCAGAACAGCGTCCTAGCTGTGCCGACCCCTCCTCGCCTCTCCCTCAGGCCCCGTGCCTCAAGGTCTCGCCAGGTCTCTCAGTGAGCACACACTGATGTCACATGAGCACGAGCCAGGAAACCTCACCCAGGCCCTGCCCTTCTGTTCTGCCTGTCCCGACAGTCCAACCCCCATATGTGCGTGGGGGGCACTGCAAGGTAGTGAGAGAACCAGCTCGGCCCTGTATCACTAGCTGTGGGATCCAGACCAACGTAGACCCTTGCCAGAAGGGCTTGCCTTTCTGTGGTGACTCCCTGGTGCCCAGGCCACAGCAGGACAGCACAGCCTCAGGGCTGACACCTCTGCTCCAGCTACTCCACACGTGGACCGGTTCCCCATCCACACCGTGAGCACCCTGAAGCTGGCTCTAACCCAGCACAAGGGCATACTGCACAGAACACAGCAGGCACTCTGGCCGGCTGAGACAGTGCTGTGGGCAGACAGCGCTGGTGCAGGCCCTGTTGGGCAGCCCGGCCCTGCAGAAGCACACCCCAGCACCCCACAGGGAGTCAGTGCACTGATGGACCGCGGGTATGGCCTTTAGCCACCTGCTACAGCCAGACATGACCCCCACGACCGGGGTCTCCAGGGACGAGCATGGCTCATCTGGAAAGGAAGCTCCATTCTGTGACCAAGCAGACAAGAGCCTCCTTGAGCAGGGACACACTGTCTGTCTCATCACAGACAGACCTTGAGCCCAGGACTCAGCTCCAGCTCTTGCTGAGGCTGGGTGAAACCGCCAATGCCTGGCAGAAACAATGAATTTGTAGGGCTGGAGGCGTCTTCCTTTGGGGAGACAGAAACCCTCCAGCCAAGGGCATTCTGGACCCTCTGCCCTTTGACGATTCCACAGTTCCAAACCAGAGCTGCCTGGCAAGAAATTGAAAAATCCTCAAGAACTGCAACAAGGATCCAGGCCACCAGCAATTTCCACAGACGCTCAGAGGTGAAAGGTCTCCTGGGCATCAGTGGTGCAAACCCACGTTCCCAAACTCCCTCCTGGAATGCTCCCTGCACAAGGAGCCCCCACTTCACTCCATACACAGTCACTGAACAGCTTTTCCTGAGAAACACTTCTGCTCTGGTGATGAAAGCACCTCCTTACAGCCTCCGCCCACAGGCCTAGTCTGTCCCAAGGGCTCTCTGCCCTGTAACAGTCATGCGGACGGTATCAGGTCAGGGATACTGTCACCAACTCCCGTCTTCTCCTCTTGTCTTCCTCGAGACACCAACAGAGACGACTCAATCCTTGGGAGGGCACGGGGGGAAAGGTCAGTCCTCTTGTAAAATGCATGCTACAGAGACAAACGGATTCGGGTGAGGAGTAGCTGACAAAGGAGGGCTGGTCAGCACGCCTCACCCCTCCCCAGATGGGCAGAGTGGGCCGTGGAACTGTCACTGCCCCTAGCTATAGTGCTCTGGGGACATGTCCACCTGTGACATTTCCTAGCTGTGTGACCTTGAGAAACAATTTAAACTTTAGGAGCCCCCGTTAACCGGGACAACACACAGCAGAAGCAAGCAGGGCATTTTAATACTCGTGTCCTCCCGCAGAGGGAGACAGAGACCCTTCTCTTGCCTTGCGAGGAAGCAGGCCCCACGGCAGGAGGGGAGGCAGCCACACTGCACAGGGACCTGGCGCCGCTTGTCCTTGTCCGTGTAGCTGTGCTGCTGCCTCTGGCTCTCTCCATCAGGAAGAGGCGACGTGGGGACTGAGTCTTGTGCAGGACGCTGGGCTCCAGCCCCTCAGTCAAAGGGAGCACGAGAGAGAAAGGGGTCCTGGGCTGCAGAACGGGAGTGGGGAGGAGCTGCAAGGCCCTCGGGGTTGGTCAGCTGTCTCAGGAAGAGGGGAAACTGAGGCCCAGCACATGCAGGGGTCTGTAACAGACCCAGAACTAAACTTTAAAGCCGCAGGCCTCCTCCTACACTCGTGCGCCCCAGTGATACACCCTCGGCACTCTCCCGCTTCTTCCTCTGAGGCTGGGGTCACCTTCCTTCTGTCCCCAGCCATGTCCTGACACCCCTCCCTTCCTGCTGTGCCCCGAATCGTTCTGAACACATTTTTCGGGGTTGCACCGTGTGTGTGAGGGAGGCTGAGAGTGTGCAGTGTGGCAGATGAAGACGGTACTCTGATTTACCTGTGTAACTCCCACAACCTGTGGCTCCAGGAACCTGCTGGTCTCACCCACTGCCGCCAAAGATTGAGGTGCTGGGCTCACTGGCATCCCCAGGATACAGACTAAAGCCCCGGCTGAGGTCACCTATCCCACACGGAGTACCTGCCCAGGCTCTCCGAGGGATGCTGGGGTGTGCAGGCACATGGAGGGTGAGAGAAGACTCGCCTTCTAAGCAGATAAGACAGGTAAGAGAAGTTTCAGATCCCACCCTAACCCGTCCCTCCTGGGGTGGGTGAATGGGTTCCTGGCTTCCCTCACAGCAAGTCATGGTCTGGGAAGTCTAAGTGTGACAGAAAGGTCCAGAAAAGCCCAAATTAAGGTGGGTGTGCTGCCTAGTGGTCCCTTAAAGGGTGAGAACACAAGTAGCAGCTGGCAGGGCACAGGGTTAGTCTTCACCAACAAACGCAAACCTTCCTCCTCCTCACACTTGGGCCCACCCAGAACTGACCAATCACTGCCTTAGCTCCCCACCCCCCGCCCTCCTCTGAAAGACGACCACTGGCACCTCATCTGCCGCTCCCCAAGCCACAGCCGGGAAGGATTAGGCTTATTCCCTCCCACTGGGCCCGTCCCCCCTGCCCCCCGCCCAGATGCACAGGGCTGCCCCGAGGAACGTGCAGCCCTCCTGGGAGCCCTCTCCATCTGCCCAGGACTACCCTGGGTTTGCAGGCAGGGGTGCGGAGTAAAGGAGACCTGAGAGCTGGACTACCGCCTGCTTGCTCTGAGCTCTGGAAAGATACCATGAGTTTCTATACACCCTCCTAGCTGGTCAGAAACCCAGGTACTGTCGGTGTACCAGGCTCCTCAGTGGCCCTGAAGCAGCTTTTGGAACCTGGCCTCCAGGGGAGTTCAGCTCTGCTGAGTGGCCCACCTCGGTTAAAGAGAGCCAGGCTTCCTCCCACCTGTGCCCCTCCGCATCATGCAGTCCCCAAGGGGTATCCGGCATGAGGTCCTCAGGCTGCAGGGATTTTACGGGGTGTCTGGAGCTTTACACACCAGGAGAGCATGCTCCTAAATTTTGAAGCCTGACACAGGGAACTAGTTTTCAACTTGTCTAAACCCAAAACCAAACCCACTGCTGCGGAGTTGATGCCAACTCATAGCAACCCTTGTCTATATAAGAAAAATAACCATCTGAGGCAATTTTAACTCACACACACGCAAAACATAAAGGACGTGACTTTAGAATGAAGAGCAGTCCTTCAAATGCAGTAAATTTACCTGTATGAAAAACTTACTACCTTGTTCGTACTGTCCTCATTTTGCTTGCAGTGAGCTTTATTAACTGGAAACCGAGGACGGAGCTTTGGGAACCACCGATCGATGTCAGGGCTTGAGGAAATGATCACAATCTCACTTGCAAAAACCTCGAGTTCCTTCGAGGCTCAGAACTCGGAAGTAGGTACTGGTAACACTGTGACTCTCGGTCATGTGCGCAGGACAGAGTATTGCAAATGACTCAGAGACACACAGCGGCTTCACTCAGACCTAATTACAGAGGAATCGAACTTGCACAAGCCAGGTGACTGCAGTGGTTGCGGTTTTCTGTGATGCATGAACCCTCGGGTGAAAGCACGCCGGACAACAGGCACGTTTGACCCGAGGCCCCCACGAGGCGCGTCCCGCCAAGAAGCCCCTCCAGGTGCGCCTGCAGCCCGCACCTGGCCGCTCCGAGCCGCCACGGGCCGTGCAGACTCGCCTCCCGCCCGCTGTCCCCGCGCCGCGGAAATCTCGAGGAGTTCCCACCACTCACCGTCCGAGGGGGCCCGGCCCAGGGCGGCCGCCGCCAGCCCGGCCAGCGGGCGCCGCAGCATGAGAAGTCGCCGATGCCCAGGACGTCTGACACGCGCCGGCCCTCCCCCAGTGACGTCAGTGTCCGCGCCGGCCCCACCCCCATCCCCACCCCCACCCCCGCCCCGGCCCGCCCCAGAGACGCCAGTGCCGCAGAGGCCCCGCCGCAGTGACGTCAACTCAGCGCGACGCAGCGCCCCGGGTGACGTCGCGGGCCCTGCTGCCGGGGTACCCCGTGCTCTGGCTGTGCTGTGACCCTGTAAGTGGCTTTGGTCCGGTCCCTTCTTGTCCCGCCCGACAAGTAGGGGTCTGGACTGCTGGTCCTCGGGGCCCCTTCCGGGGCGACAGTGATAGTCGCAGGTTGGTGCTCAAAAGGCCCACCCGTCCGCCCTTTCCACCCCTTCGTGCAGGTTGGGGAAACAGGCTGCAAGGCGAAGGGCTTCCGCCGAAGCTTCGGGCGAGAGAGGGGCGGCCCGGGGCGGGCCGGAGTGTGCATCCCGTAGCGCAGACACCGCCCACGTGGAGACCCTTGACACCAACCTCTCAGGCGTTCGCCCGCCTTCCGGGCTCGGCTGCCTGCTGGCTTTTTCCTTATTTTGGGGGGGGAGGCAGGAAAGGAAAAGGGATGGGCCTCACCTTACGAAATTTACTAAACGGAATTTTCATTTTAGAGACAGCATGCCCATAAACCAAATCCATTGCCATCGAGTCTGTTCGGACTCATAGCGACCCTATAGGACAGGGAAGGACTGCCCCATAGGATTTCCCAAGAGCGCCTGGTGGATTCGAACTGTCGACCTTTCGGTTAGCAGCCACCAGGGCCCCATTAGAGACAACAGGAATTTTTTTCCTCCAATTTCCTACCGAGTTTGGGCTCCCCCTTTCAGATACCCTTCCTTAGTTAGAGAGACAATGCCAGAGAAAATCTGCCCTTCCCGACCATGAAAACTCTATTTCCCGGAGTCTGAATATTTGTATTTGGTATTTGAAACTCCTAGCTTTTCATCGTAGAAACCACAACGCAGAAACGGGGGATCAGGCGCTGGTAAAAGTAATCCCGAGCCCCAATTCCCTTTCTGTAAGTAGGTGTGATAATCCTTAGCTCATGGGATTTTTGTGATAGTTAAATAATCTTAGAAAATAAAGTCCACGCTCATATCCACCCTGCGTTCCATGCTCAGAACAGCTTCCGTGACTCCATAACTCCCAGGCTCTAACCCAGTGGAGTCTGCTGGGCGCTGCTATGTACTGAGAGTAGAACCTGGGCATCTGTTTTTTCAAAAAAAAAATCCATAGGTGGTTTTAATGCTGAATCTGGGCTGAGACCCTTAGAGATTGTTGAGAGAGACTGGAGAATGGCTTGGTGATAACATGCCTGTCAGACATATTGGGGTCTATGGCTTCATTACTGGCTGGGATTAAACAGGGATTAGCTAAATGTTTCCTTTTTTTTTTTTTGTTCTCTTGTTCCCCTGCCTAGCAGGTCACATACCAGGGCTAAGGACTGCCTCCACGTGCCACGGGGTCTCCAAGGAGGAATGGCGGCTGTGGGCAGCCTGTCTGGGTAAGCATGGACATCCAGGTGTCTTGGGATTACTGTCATGGGTCACCCATGTGAATGCCCACTTACCAGCCTTATGCTGTGCTGCCTTGGGGATACCTCCCTGAGCCATTGTGGTTTTACCTGGAAAATGTGGACAACTATACCCCTTGATGGAGCCCTGGTGGCACAGTGGTTAAGAGCTCAGCTGCTAACCAAAAGGTCGGCAGTTCGAATCCACCTGCCACACGTTGGAAACCCTGTGGGGCAGTTCTGCTCTGTCCTGTTTGGTCGCTATGAGTCAGAATTGACTTGACGGCAGTGGGTTTGTTTCTTTGTTTTTAATACCCTGACACGATGTTAGAGAGAAATAGAAATGACTTGTGAGTACTTAGTAAAAAATAGAGGGTGGTGGTGATTGTTGTCCACTTCCTATTCAAAGGTTGCAGCCCAGTGGGAGGAAGCATGGGCCTCCCTGCTATCCCACTGGAATTGCTTCCCCATCTGCCCTTTTCCCCTCAGCCCTGGCCTCCCCAAAGTGGGGAGTGCAGTATAGGATCACAGTGTTGCCACAGTGAAAACTTGGAGCACAGGTTTCATGTGACTGTGAAATTGGGAGAGAATCACGTGGTACCTAGAGCTATGGTTTGGTGTGATGGTGGAAAGGGGGGTTGGGGCTTCCGCGTTCCCTGGAGGGCTCTTGTCCTGGGACAGATCTGTGTGGGAAATGCTGCTGATGGTTGGAAAACATCCACCATCTGTCTTCAAGGCTCATCTTCAGCCCCTCTCCCAGGAAGCCTCTCCCGGCCTCCGGCCCATGTTCCCTGGAGCCGCTCTCTTGCAGGCCCCCCAGCTCTGCAGGCGTGGGTCCTGGCCTGACTGTGTCCTTCAGCTCTGGAGCTTACACAGTGTTTGTTTTTCCTGTCTCCGTGCTTCTCATGACATGCTGCTCACGCACTCTTGAAGGCAGGACCTGGACTGCTTCAGCCAAAATTGACTGAGCTCCATGCTGGGGGTCTGGGACTTAACAGTGACTCTGATTCAGTTCTTGTTCCCAGGACCTCACAGTCCAGTGGGAGAGATGGACACACAGACCAATGCAGGGTCATCTGGGATAATGGTGTTGTGCGCAGTGCAGGGTGTGGGGAACCCCCAAGGAAGGTGGAGTCCCAGGCCGAGGAGCCGCACGTGTGGCTGTGTTTGTGGAATTGTAGGGCACTCAGGCTGGCTGCTTGTAGAGGGAGAAGGTGGGAGCGCAGCGGGGTGAAGAGACCGCAGAAGCCGTATGGGCAGCTCAGGAGGTTGCATTTTATCCCGAGAGCAGTGGGAGGTGTTGACCTGATAGAAGCAGACTGAGTTTTAGAGACACTGTTGAGAGTATGGAGACGTGAGTGACAGCGGAGGGACCAAGGGGCAGGCTGTTTGGACGATCTGGGCTAGATGGGACTGGGGTATACCCAGATGTGCGTCGGGGAGAGGGAGCTTGAGGAAGGGAGGGAACTGGACATGGTGGTTTATGGGTTAGGGGCATCAGGGGTGACCATGGCCAGGGTCTTCAGTGCCTGGCCGGAGAGTGAGGCCACTTCTGGGATATGAGACGGTTCCAAGAACTTCTGGCAGTGTTTCAGACACCTGGTTCCTCAGGCCTGGGGGGAAGGGATAGACTGGAATGCCTGGGAGTGGGACTCAGTTCAAGTTTGGGTTAAAGCCTGAATCTCAGAGCCAGAACAGACTTTGGGGAGTGCAGGGCTGGGCCGACCTCATTTTTGGAATGAGGAGGCTGAGGCCCCCTTGTGGATTCGTGGCAGAGCTGGGGCAGGATGCCTCCGTCTCTCCTGTCACTTCAGAGTACGTGCTTTCTGCTGCGTGTCATCTGAGGGCGGACTGCCAGCCATGGTCAGAGGCTAAGTGGGCCCCACATCTGCTTTCCCCTGGAAGCCCCATCCTGCTCTGTCCGTGTCCAGGGGACTGGGCCAGCCAGCCAGGCCTCCCTAACAGGTGGGCTGTCTGAGGCCTTTGGGCTCCCAGTGTCTCCTGTGTCCTTGGGCATGTGAAGAGCCTCACGCACTCCCCCTCAGCGGCCTCTTCCGGGCAGTGGGGCAGGAGTGGCTTTGACCACAGCTTGCAGCTTTCTCTTCCCCGCCCCCGGCACATGCTGGCCCTGACCTGGGTCGCCAAGGACTGTTAGTGTCATCATGCACGTGCTGCCACAGCTGGGACAGGGCAGGCGAAAGGAGGCCCCAGTCCATCCACTGCCCCCCCCCAGGACTGTCAACGAGGCGGCCGTCACAGCCCGGACTGCTCATCTCTCTTCTCGGGAACCTGGCCCTGGTGGCCTGTACCCGGACACGTGGCCGCGAGTCGATTCCCACTCCTGGCGGCCTGTACCCGTACCCCTGGGCGCGAGTCAATTCCCACTCCTGGTGGCCTGTACCCTTACCCGTGGCCGCGAGTTGATTTCCACTCCTGGTGGCCTGTACCCGTACACGTGGCCGCGAGTTGATTCCCACTCCTGGCGGCCTGTACCCTCACCCGTGGCCGCGAGTCGATTCCCACTCCTGTGGCCTGTACCCGTGGTTGCGAGTCGATTCCCACTCCTGGCAGCCTGTACCCTTAACTGTGGCCGCGAGTCGATTCCCACTCCTGGCGGCCTGTAGCCTTACCCATGGCTGTGAGTTGATTCCCACTCCTGGGCGGCCTGTAGCAGGCTGTTCCACGTTCGTTGTCACTGCCGTCTGCGTGGTGCTCCCTTGTGCGGCCAGCGTCCGAGGCTTCTCCCCGCACTGGTTAAAGGGATCGCCCACCCCTTCCCCATAGGCGTGTCTAATTTTCCTGGGAACCCTGACATACTTACCGATGGACTCGCTGCTGTGTCTTCCTGCAGCCTCCTGCGGCGGGGTCTCGTGCAGAGAGCTGCCTCTTGGTCCTGCCGCCTGCACACCTCCCACGGGCTGGCTGACTGCCACAGGGCCTCGTTCACGAGGCTCTACAGACAGGCCTACGCACGCCTCTACCCCGTGCTCCTGGTCAAGCAGGACGGCGCCACCATCCACATCCGCTACCGGGAGCCACGGCGAATGCTCGCGGTAAGGCCAGGCCCCGGGCTCTGAGCCGGGGTGGAGGCAGGTGGAGGCCCATGAAGAGAGCTGCCCCAGAGGACCTGCTCTTCCTGGGGCCCTGGGCCAGCTGGCCTGGAACAAACACACAGCTTGAGACCACCAGACCTGTCTGTGGCCGCAGTGCTGCAGGTCAGTGGGGAGGTGGCAGGGTTGGGTCGACGAGGGCTGCTGCATGAGGAGAAGCCTATTGAGACCCCGAGCTCGCTTCAGAGCACCAAATTCAGACGGGATATGCCCCAAAAAAATCAGATTCTGGGGAAACAATCAGGAAAAAATTTGCTTAAGAAAAAAAGCCTTGAAGGGAGAAGCAAAACAACAGAATGTGTAAAATTAAACTGCAAGAGAGAAAAAAAAATTCATGTAAAACAGAGACTTGGGAAATTGTCATCTCGTAAGAATTTGTGCGTTCAGCTCAGCCCAAAGCCGGCCTTTGCCCCGGCGTAGCCCCCTTCTCCTGAGGAGTTCCGGGGGGGTGCCTCACGGCTTCCCCACTTCCCCACAGATGCCTGTCGACCTCGACTGCCTGTCCCCCGAAGAGAGAAGGGCTCGCTTCCGCAAGCGTGAGGCCAAGTTCAGAGAAAAGAAGGAGGAGCCGGAGCTCAAGGACAACTTCGATATGGAACGCTACAAGCGCTTTTGGACCAAAAAGTGACTGTTCGTTGGACTGTCCCGGGAAGGGAGTCGTGCAGGTGGGGTGGGCTGTCTGGTTTCAAAAGTATAAGTTAGAAGCCCCCTACCACCTCAGTCTGGCGTCTGCTCCTTCTCTCTGCGCTCCCAGCAGGCTGAGCTGCCCCCCGCCCCGTGCAGAGCGCTGTGCGAGGCTGCCTGGTGCCGGGAGCTTACCCCCCGGGCTGTGAGCGTGGGGCACTGGGGGAGGCATGTTCTGCTGGAGGGGCCCAGCCAGCCACTTGTCAGCTCCCACTCGGGCCGGCAGCACTTTGCACTTAAAGTTGACAGGGCTTGTCACAGAGTCTGTGACCTGCCTCCTTTCTGTCACGGGTTGGCTTCACACACAGACCCCAGCTTCCTCCCAGACCCGAGGAAGCAGTTTCCAGCCGTTCCAGCTGCGGCCACCACTCTGCCCAGGCCTGGGGGCTGGTGTCCTGGCTGGGCCCAGCTCTCAGGCTCCCGGCAGACCTGGAGGGCCTCCCAGGCCACTGGGACGGCTGGGACGTGGCGGTGGCCATCTGTCAGAGGCTGCCTTCCCACAAGGTGGCCACGTTGGAAGGTGGCGGAGGAGAGCGCCCAGCGCTCACTCCCTGCTCTGACAGGGCCGCCACTTCCACCACTGTGCGTCTTCCCACCCCTCTCCTCCACCGCCTCCATGAGAAGACATACTGCCGGCTGCAGCTTTTGTCCCTGTAACGGGCCCCTGTCCATCCCGTCCCCTCCCGCCTGCTCAGGCACCTCGCCGCAGTGAGTCCCCCTAGGTGTTGGCAGGGCTCCCTGACCGTCGCCATCGCTCCCCGTAGCAGCCAGCCTCCTCAGGGCCGTCCGCACCACCGTCTCCACTTGCCGTCCTGCTTTCGTCAAGCTTTCGGCCCGTCCCCCGACCCTGCTCTTGCCAAGGTCAGAGGCGACCTCCACGTTGCTAACCCAGAGGTCAGCTCACAGCCCCCATCTCCACGTTGGCCCCTGGTTATCTTACCTGGTCTCGGGACTTCTAAAGCTGTCTGCACCTGCAGCCTGGGCCCCCGCCCTGCACCCGTCCCTGCTCACACCTCCAGGAGGTGCAGGCTCCCTCCGGCTCACTGGTCTCCTGCCCCAAGTCTCTTCTCCTCAGGAAGCTCGTCCTCACAGCGCCTCAGTCCACAGCAGTGGGACTTTCCTGGCCCTCATCCCCGTCTGTCCTTGGGCACACCCCGCGTCTTGTCTCTTACCCATGTTCAAACACTGCAGCTCTGCCTTCCCGATCCACCCGGGTCCCGCCACAGCCCTACTCCACATCCATTCCTGCTGCCTGGTCTTCGGCACTGTCACCTGGGGGCCACCGCAGTGGCCTCCCCCCAGGCCCCCTGCTTCCACCCAGTGCTTTCAACATGTGCACGGCTGCCAGCGGGCGCCTTTCCCTGTGGGCCACCACAGCACTCCTGGTCCTGTCACTAGAGGAAGACTCTAGTCCCAGCTGTGGCCTTGGGCCCTGCACCCTCACCCAGCACCTGCATCCTGCTCTTCCTCACTATTGCCTCTGCGTGCAGTGCTCTTCTCGCCAGCTCCCCGTCCTCCCTTTTGATCCCCTGGGGGACGACGGTACGTATGTACACGTGTGTGTCCCCAGCACCTGGCGCAGGGCCCAAGAGGTGCTCGATGGGTGTGTACTGAGTGAATGAGATGGAGGGGCCGAGGCTGCACGCATGGAACAGAAACTGGGCTTCTAGGAGTCAGCTGGGTACCTGCTGGTTTACATCTGACACTCAATATGTCAGAGAAAACATTTACAGATACAGGAAATAATGTAAGCACAGGGGACCCATCCTGAGTGTAAGCCCGTCAGTCTCGCAGTGAACAGAGCCGGCACATGGCAGCACCCCCTGCCCGCCTGCCCGCCTCCTGCCCCTCTGACCCCAGGGTCGCCACTGCTCTGACATCTGACAACACAGGTCAGTTCCAGTGGCTCAGAAGAAAGTGACCAGGTCCAAATGTGCCTCAGACAGGTCACTTGAGGGAAGGGGTAGCAATAGGTGAGCCTGGAGAACGAGATGGACAGTCGAGGCTTCTGCTCTGGCGGGCGGTGGTGGTGTCTGAGCCGGGAGCCCTGGACGCATCAGGGCCGGGCGCGTCAGTGCTGTCAGATATGCTGTGTTGAAGACGGAGAGGTCCCGGGGCAGGTCTGGAGCTGCAGGGACTCGTCTGACACCGCCAGAGTGGGCCGGGCCACACGGGGACAGTGACGTTGGGAGAACAACTTAGGGGAGGAGTTTGCCTTCTTGGGCCACATGAGAGGAGACAAAGGCCCGAAGGTGACTTGGCAGCCGTACGCGGCAGACGATGTGTCGGAGGCTCGCTGTTACGGTGTGGGACCCCAAAATGAAAGGGCAAGCGAGGCCGTCTGAGAAGGTGGGGCCAGAGAAGTAGGAAGAGAGCCTCGCTGTTGAGAAGGGCAGCTGGGACCAGGGCAAAGGAGTCTGGTGGCTTTTCCGCCCCCTCCCTCCCCAGGCCCGCCTTTCTTCACGCTGTGCCTGTGACGACACCGGTTACACAGCTGAGCCCGTCAAGCTGCTGATTAATCGGCGATGTCATGACGCGGGGACTCACTGAGAGCCCTGCAAAGGTGTAATGACTGGGGAGGGGTGGGCTGTGCATGTGTGATGAATGGCGTGGGATGTCTGCGTGTGTGCAGGTGCAGAGGGTGTTACACACTGATCCCCAGGATGTACAGCACACAGTGTGCAAAACGCACAATACTCTTCACTGTCCATTCCCTATGAACAGCTGATTCTCAGAATACTTTGGTTGAGTGTCGCCGAACTCTTGTGTATGCAGCCAACCTGTGGTTTTAATTCAACCACAATTCGGCAAATAAAGTAGCATCCTAATCCACTAACTGAATTTATTATCGTCAAATCCCCGTGTGATCTACTGTTACTCTATGGTGGGAAATGAGATGCTTTATCCAGAAGTATTTTTACATGATTGTTTTAATTCTGCTGTTGACAGCTGCAGCCAATGATTTTACAGTGCCAAACGAAGATTTTAGGAACATTTTCACACAACCTTAGACTCCAGACTTTCTTCTCAGTATTGCCCCATCAGAACAAAATACAGTTAAGTTTGGTTTTGAATATTCATTATTAAAGCCACAGTAATTTAAGGTAAACGGGAGTGTATTGACACATACCTACCGTGGTGGACACCAGCTCTTTTAAAGCAACAGGTAAGCCGACTGGTGCAGGCGCTGGCAGAACTGGGCACCAGAGCGAAATCGCGAAGTGCCAGGTTGTTAGTGCAAGGTTTGCCGTGCTCTTCTGTGATATCCTTAATTATCTTCATCTTCATTTTGGTGGTATGTCCTGTTAGTCTTGCTGTATTGAACAGTTGACCTCTCCGATTCTCTTGTGATTTTATTGCCCCTCAATGCCAGGTAAAGCCTATTACGTTGTACTAACCCACGGACTGTGCACTAAACTGGGAATTGAACCATTCATTTTACAAATTTTGAACTTTACTATGGTTTTAGAAACACAATATTCCTTAACAGTTTGTTCGCAGAGAAGCCTGCCCAGTCACTACCACCATTTGGAGTTCCTAGGGAAGTGGGACATGCTTTTTTCCTGTCACTCTTAAATGGTGAACTGTTGCACAGTTCTTACATCCTAATTCACCTCCTTTTATTTCCAGCCCTTTGTATATTTCTGTAAACATAAATGATTGTTTTTCATTCCAACAATCTGGAAGCCCAAGATTATTTCTTCCTTTGAGTAGCATGGTGGTTTTTCTTCAAAGATGGGTTGTCCAACAGGTTAGATGTGGCAGTCTGCTTCTGTAAGGATCACACCCTTGGAAACCCTATGGGACAATTCTAATCTGTCCTATAGAGTCGCTATGAGTCGGAATCGACGCCACGGCAATGTTTTTTTTTTCTTTCTTTTTTTAATCATTGTTTTCTGTCTCTGTTTTCACCTTTTCGACGTTCAAAAAACTTAAATCACTGTCATTTTGGCCTTTTACGGATCAGATTCTGAAATACAATTTTTTTGTTGTTAGCTGCCAGTCGTCTCACGGCAACCCCGTATGTTACAGAGCAGAACGGCTCCACAGGATTTTCTTGGCTGTAATCTTTACGCAGCCGTCGGCTGCTAACTGACAGGTTGGCGGTTCTAACCCACCCGGCAGGGAGAGAGACCCCAGGGCCTCGGGCACACGGGACAAGGGAGCATGCGGACTGGCGCTGGGGGCGGGACCTGGGGCGGGTGACGTCACCGCGCACGACGCGACCGAGCGCAGCGGAGCGGGCGGTGGTTGGGGACGCCGGGGAGGGGCCCTGTGCGCCTGACGTCACCCCGCACGACGCGGGGCCGTGCGCGCTCGCAGGGGCGGCCAAGGCGGCCGTGGGGGCGGGGCGCGCGCAGCCCGGGAGGCTCAGCTTAGGGGCCCGCGCTCCCGGCCTGGGGCTTGGCGGGGCTGGCCGAGGGCGCATCTGGGTGTCTGTCCGTCCCCCGCAGCACCCGCCGGCACCATGTTCGGGTCCAGCCGAGGCGGCGTCCGCGGCGGCCAGGACCAGTTCAACTGGGAGGACGTGAAAACCGACAAGCAGCGGGAGAACTACCTGGGCAACTCGCTGATGGCCCCGGTGGGCCGCTGGCAGAAGGGCCGGGACCTCACCTGGTACGCCAAGGACCGCGTGGGCCCGGTGGGGCTGAGCCGCGAGGACGAGCTGGCGGCCGTGCGGCAGGCCGAGCAGGAGGCCCTCATGGCAGCCC